AGACCTTTGACCTGTGACCTGATTCTCGGGACCATATTCGGCCGGAACCGCGATTTGGCGTATGTCAGCTCACATTATCTGCGCGTTTCCAGTCTTTTTGTGATTGTAGACGTCCAAACATGTGAAATGATGTTCGTCCCATGCATGACGGTGGGTGTGAAGGTCACCTGAAGGTCAGGTCAGGTCATTAACCTTTGAAGGCCTCGGTTCAATTTTTCGAGTATTACATGTGTCTAGGGTAGTTTTTCGGGCTGATTTCGAATTTAGCATCAATTTGAACGTTTACGAAGTAGTTTTAGTGCCTTCGTAGCATGCTACGACGCCGTCAGTGGTAGTTGACACCTGCTATGGATAGCCGGTAGGACGCCTAATGGTTGACCTGACCTGACCCGATCTGGCCTAAATGCATGAAGAAATCATCTGTGATCAAAACTAACATGATATTCGTGATCAGTACCCCGAAAACCCCGATAACAGCTTCACTTTACGCAGTTCTAGGCAGGTCCCGATTTTCCCGACTTTTGGAACATTGACCTGACCTGGAAGGTCAACCAATGACCTAGGACCTTAAAATTGGGTATCATCGGCTTCCTCTCGTCACGGGCAACACCCTCGTTTTTTCCGCGAAGCTCTAGCTCTATACCCCCCCCCCCCCCCTCCCTCCCCCTACACATTAAAAGCTGGAAAACGCCGCACACATTCGAGGGTTAATATTGTCAATATTGACTACCGCAAAAAGTAAAAGCGGCCAACTTAGCCATTTTCGAAGATATCGGGCTAAAAATTTTGACATTGGGTCATCGGCTCGGTATGTGTTCAATCACATGCTCCATTTCCTTTTTTCAGCACAAATGTAAGTTTTGAAGACCATCACTAAAGCAAATGCTTGTAAAGATGGATAGTGGGCAACATATCCTGAATTAGCCGTGCTGCATGGAAAGTAGTGTTGATGAGAAAAGGGGTTTTTGGTTCAGATTATTGTGGGTGCAGAATACATTGTCTGCACCCACTGGAGAAATATTGTGGGTGCAGCTGCACCCTTGCACCCATGGTTCCTACGCTTATGCGTAAACCTGTACCTCTAGTCAATCTATCTATATTATAAATCCTAAAAAGTACCCCGCCGCCCACGCCGTGTACTTTGTAGCGCTTATTGCGGCGGCGTCCGTTGACCTACGGCCGTGAAATTTGCGGAGATGTGGGCCGTCTTTACACGTAGGTCGTATTAACTTTTATAACACACACAAACATTGGCAAGTGTGGCCAAACACGCTCCCACCTCCCACCCGGGAGAAAATCAAAGTTATAAATTGCTATGAATTTTCTCACCGAGTTAAATGCGATCTTGACCACTAACAGGCATCATACTCAAGTCGACACAAATAGACCAGCGACTCGCAGCAGGCACCCTAGCCACAGATATGTGAGCGGTAAGGCGACCAGCGCGGCGCGTCCCTGACCCGGTCAAACGCGTCTCTAGCGAGTGTGAAGCCATAGAGATATACGGTGCCGCTGAGACTGGGTGTGATGCGGCGCAGTCTACCTTCAGGCCAGAAGGATATACTGTGCCGCTGCACCTGGGTGTGATGCGGCGCAGTCTACCTTCAGGCCAGAAGGATATACTGTGCCGCTGCACCTGGGTGTGAGACGGCGCAGTCTACCTTCAGGCCAGAAGGATATACTGTGCCGCTGCACCTGGGTGTGAGACGGCGCAGTCTACCTTCCGGCCAGAAGGATATACTGTGCCGCTGCACCTGGGTGTGAGACGGCGCAGTCTACCATTGAGGCCAGAAGGATATACTGTGCCGCTGCACCTGGGTGTGAGACGGCGCAGTCTACCTTCAGGCCAGAAGGATATACTGTGCCGCTGCACCTGGGTGTGAGACGGCGCAGTCTACCTTCCGGCCAGAAGGATATACTGTGCCGCTGTACCTGGGTGTGAGACGGCGCAGTCTACCTTCCGGCCAGAAGGATATACTGTGCCGCTGCACCTGGGTGTGAGACGGCGCAGTCTACCTTCAGGTCAGAAGGATATACTGTGCCGCTGCACCTGGGTGTGAGACGGCGCAGTCTACCTTCAGGCCAGAGTGATATACTGTGCCGCTGCACCTGGGTGTGAGGCGGCGCACTCTACCGTTGAGGCCAGAAGGATATACTGTGCCGCTGCACCTGGGTGTGAGACGGCGCAGTCTACCTTCCGGCCAGAAGGATATACTGTGCCGCTGCACCTGGGTGTGAGACGGCGCAGTCTACCTTCAGGCCAGAAGGATATACTGTGCCGCTGCACCTGGGTGTGAGGCGGCGCAGTCTACCTTCAGGCCAGAAGGATATACTGTGCCGCTGCACCTGGGTGTGAGGCGGCGCAGTCTACCTTCATGCCAGAGTGATATACTGTGCCGCTGCACCTGGGTGTGGGACGGCGCAGTCTACCGTTGAGGCCAGAGGGATATACTGTGCCGCTGCACCTGGGTGTGAGACGGCGCAGTCTACCGTTGAGGCCAGAAGGATATACTGTGCCGCTGCACCTGGGTGTGAGACGGCGCAGTCTACCTTCAGGCCAGAAGGATATACTGTGCCGCTGCACGTGGGTGTGAGACGGCGCAGTCTACCGTTGATGCCAGGGGGATATACTGTGCCGCTGCACCTGGGTGTGAGACGGCGCAGTCTACCTTCCGGCCAGAAGGATATACTGTGCCGCTGCACCTGGGTGTGAGACGGCGCAGTCTACCGTTGAGGCCAGAGGGATATACTGTGCCGCTGCACCTGGGTGTGAGACGGCGCAGTCTACCGTTGAGGCCAGAAGGATATACTGTGCCGCTGCACCTGGGTGTGAGACGGCGCAGTCTACCTTCAGGCCAGAAGGATATACTGTGCCGCTGCACGTGGGTGTGAGACGGCGCAGTCTACCGTTGAGGCCAGAGGGATATACTGTGCCGCTGCACCTGGGTGTGAGACGGCGCAGTCTACCGTTGAGGCCAGAAGGATATACTGTGCCGCTGCACCTGGGTGTGAGACGGCGCAGTCTACCTTCAGGCCAGAAGGATATACTGTGCCGCTGCACGTGGGTGTGAGACGGCGCAGTCTACCGTTGATGCCAGAAGGATATACTGTGCCGCTGCACCTGGGTGTGAGGCGGCGCAGTCTACCGTTGAGGCCAGAAGGATATACTGTGCCGCTGCACCTGGGTGTGAGACGGCGCAGTCTACCTTCAGGCCAGAAGGATATACTGTGCCGCTGCACGTGGGTGTGAGACGGCGCAGTCTACCGTTGAGGCCAGAAGGATATACTGTGCCGCTGCACCTGGGTGTGAGACGGCGCAGTCTACCTTCAGGCCAGAAGGATATACTGTGCCGCTGCACCTGGGTGTGAGGCGGCGCAGTCTACCGTTGAGGCCAGAAGGATATACTGTGCCGCTGCACCTGGGTGTGAGACGGCGCAGTCTACCTTCAGGCCAGAAGGATATACTGTGCCGCTGCACGTGGGTGTGAGACGGCGCAGTCTACCGTTGAGGCCAGAAGGATATACTGTGCCGCTGCACCTGGGTGTGAGACGGCGCAGTCTACCGTTGAGGCCAGAAGGATATACTGTGCCGCTGCACGTGGGTGTGAGACGGCGCAGTCTACCGTTGAGGCCAGAAGGATATACTGTGCCGCTGCACCTGGGTGTGAGACGGCGCAGTCTACCTTCAGGCCAGAAGGATATACTGTGCCGCTGCACGTGGGTGTGAGACGGCGCAGTCTACCGTTGAGGCCAGAAGGATATACTGTGCCGCTGCACCTGGGTGTGAGACGGCGCAGTCTACCGTTGAGGCCAGAAGGATATACTGTGCCGCTGCACGTGGGTGTGAGACGGCGCAGTCTACCGTTGAGGCCAGAAGGATATACTGTGCCGCTGCACCTGGGTGTGAGACGGCGCAGTCTACCTTCAGGCCAGAAGGATATACTGTGCCGCTGCACGTGGGTGTGAGACGGCGCAGTCTACCGTTGATGCCAGAAGGATATACTGTGCCGCTGCACCTGGGTGTGAGGCGGCGCAGTCTACCGTTGAGGCCAGAAGGATATACTGTGCCGCTGCACCTGGGTGTGAGACGGCGCAGTCTACCTTCAGGCCAGAAGGATATACTGTGCCGCTGCACGTGGGTGTGAGACGGCGCAGTCTACCGTTGAGGCCAGAAGGATATACTGTGCCGCTGCACCTGGGTGTGAGACGGCGCAGTCTACCTTCAGGCCAGAAGGATATACTGTGCCGCTGCACCTGGGTGTGATGCGGCGCAGTCTACCTTCAGGCCAGAAGGATATACTGTGCCGCTGCACCTGGGTGTGAGGCGGCGCAGTCTACCGTTGAGGCCAGAAGGATATACTGTGCCGCTGCACGTGGGTGTGAGACGGCGCAGTCTACCTTCAGGCCAGAAGGATATACTGTGCCGCTGCACGTGGGTGTGAGACGGCGCAGTCTACCGTTGAGGCCAGAAGGATATACTGTGCCGCTGCACCTGGGTGTGAGACGGCGCAGTCTACCGTTGAGGCCAGAAGGATATACTGTGCCGCTGCACGTGGGTGTGAGACGGCGCAGTCTACCGTTGATGCCAGGGGGATATACTGTGCCGCTGCACCTGGGTGTGAGACGGCGCAGTCAACCGTTCCAGTCAAACGCTGGGCCGTCGGGGGCGAACATCACTTTGTAGTCGACTTTACTCAAGCAACTAAGACAGGCACGATAAATCAGTTCAGAAGGTCAATTGGAAACAATTTAGATAGGCATGACAGGTCACTTTGGAAGGCTATTTAGAAAAATTACATATGTACAGGCAGCCTGCCTCCTTCCACAGAATTGCCACCTGTTCTCAGCTGGCAAGCAGCCGATAAATTTTGCGAAACAGTGCAACTAGCCAGGCCCCAATCGGAGTGGAGTGGTAATACAGCATTATTTTAAAGTCACCCACAGAAACAGCTAGCCCGGTCCGACGGTCGGTGGCAGCAGCGCTGTCCGGTGGCACTCACCTGCACTCTCCTCCAGCACGTTAGGCGAGATGTCCTCGAAGGCAGCCGCTCCGAGCGGCAGGTACGCTTTCGGCTCCAGCATACTCAGGTACTCGGCGACAAGCGCAGCGCTATGCACGTAGCACATACCGGCCTCGGCCAACTGGCCGCGCTGAAACACGCCGCACAAAGGTCACAACAGCACCGCACGGCGCCCAATCAGAACGCCGCGCTATCTTATACGGGAGTCTGGGGCGAGGCGCCCCAGAAAGTTGACCATGTGTGACAGCTCTCAAACCTCCGGGTACCAGCCCTCCCCTCCCACCTCCGTGTGACAGCCCTCCCCATCCCACCTCCGTGTGACAGCCCTCCCCCTCCCACCTCCGTGTAGCAGCCCTCCCCTCCCACCTCCGTGTAGCAGCCCTCCCCTCCCACCTCCGTGTAGCAGCCCTCCCCCTCCCACCTCCGTGTAACAGCCCTCCCCCTCCCACCTCCGTGTAACAGCCCTCCCCCTCCCACCTCCGTGTGACAGCCCTCCCCCTCCCACCTCCGTGTAACAGCCCTCCACTCCCACCTCCGTGTAACAGCCCTTCCCCTCCCACCTCCGTGTAACAGCCCTCCCCTCCCACCTCTGGGTGACAGCCCTTCCCCTCCCACCTCCGTGTGACAGCCCTTCCCCTCCCACCTCTGTGTAACAGCCCTCCCCCTTCCACCTCCGTGTGACAGCCCTCCCCCTCCCACCTCCGTGTAACAGCCCTCCCCCTCCCACCTCCGTGTAACAGCCCTCCCCCTCCCACCTCTGTGTAACAGCCCTCCCCCTCCCACCTCCGTGTAACAGCACTCCCCCTTCCACCTCTGGGTGACAGCTGTGTAGAAGGAAATCATGCCTCCCACTCCCGATGGAGGCCCCAAATGTCTGACCCCATTTTTGTCTCTGTCTGGGTGTCTGGGGCGCATAGCGACACGGGACCGCCGGCTCGCTGGCCGGCTGCCCGTCCGGTCACGTGCTTGCGTCCCGACACCCACCATAAAACCATGTCTTTCGTAAATACACTCTCTCACTTCTCCTCTACTGACTGTACCGCCAACACTACCAGCGGACCACGGCTCCGACGAGGGCGGCCAAAATGGCCGGCCCACAATTGGTGCCAGCGGTGGTGGTTGGTTGTCCGTGAAGGACTTTTGGCTTCAGGTGAGTTCTCTTTTAAATTAATTCTATTTGCTATTTGTTTGATATTATATGTTTGAGATTTGAGATTTGATATTTAGTTCCATTCGTTTTTCTCCGTGCTTTTTTCATTATTTAACATACTAACCATGGAAGATGCTACCAGGAATTTTAGTATTGAGTACAATGCCCAGATGAACGATATTTTAAGGCGAATTGCCCATTTAGAATTAGCTGTAGCAGAGGAGCTTATTGCTCAACAAAATCAAAATCAATCAAAATCTCAGAGACGAGGACGTGATCGTCAATCTCGTCAGCAAAAATACAGTTATCGACCTGTTCGCTCAAAATCACTTCACTCTTCGCATCATTGTTGTCAAGAAAGGAGTCATTGTTGTTCAAATTCTTATCACCATGAATTTTCGAGCTGTCACCGGAACATTTCACCGCGTCGGAACTTTCGTTCTCAGAGCCCAAACGGGTTCCGCTCACTGCACTTGGAGGTGAGTGCGTGAGCGTTGCTTCAGATGACAGGGACCGTTCAGCACATCACCTGGTTTTACGTGACGTCAAAATTTCGGGTCAAACTTGTTCAGCTCTTTATGATAGTGGGAGTAGTGTCTCTTTAGTTTCAGAAAAATGTCTGCAAAAATATGGTTTAAAAGTAGCTTACGAACCTCCCAGTGTCTTTATTCTTGATATTACTGGAAATCCTATTGACGTTGTAGGTGAAGTCAATCTGAACATTAGCATTTCATGGTCATGGTAGCATTCATGGTTCAACACAAATTGTTCATTTCAGCAAAAAGTTTGCCATTCAAATGCGATATCATTCTCGGAATCGATTTTATCATTGCTCACAAATTGCTTTACAATCCATCGAGTCGTTCAGTGAACTTTCTAAAACTAATTATTTCTCCCAATGATAGTCGAAAGACGCTCAAAACGTCTGAGTCCCAAAAGACGTAAAAGAGTACGTTTTCTTTTATCAACAAAGGACAATGAAAAATGTGTCGATCAAATCGTTTATCCTGATAAAACGGTAGACATGTTCACAACTGCAGAAAAACATGCATTAACCCGGCAGTTGCTGGGGTATTTCGCCACCCACCGTTTGCTGGGGGGGGGGGGGGCGTTAAACGCCCCCAGCCGATAACTCGAGAACCAATAGGCGCAGCGAAACACACGAGGCGGCAAACGAAAGAACGCGACGAGACGCTTCAAATGAGTACTTTAAAGTTGAATTTTGAGGTCACAGGTCGGGTCAAGGTCAGGTCAAACACCTGAAATCGGGCTTTCAGTAGCATTGACTTCAGGACTTCGCAATGGGCGCCTCTCGTCATAAACTCTGTCAAAACGGTGCACAATCCATCATATAAGGCCTACAAGAGTGTCAGCTCCATGTAGGGGTCAGTCAAGCAGAGGTCAGGGTCAAGGCCAGGTCAACCGGGTAGGCACATATCCCCAAAAATCAAAACTGATATTCGCAGCCTGTGACACATGTTTTATGGGTAATTTGGGGCGTAGAACACGATGGTGACATTCATTTTATCATATGTGTACGTGTTTGGCTCAAAAAGTTTAATTTAAGAAATTCATGTATAATGGTCGTGAAGTGGTCACGAGAAATTGCCAAGATTCAGTTCAAGATTTTGGAAAATGCGGAACGATAATCAATAATCGAAGATAGCCATTTGATTGTTCATGGTATTGGCAGTCTAATGGCGTTTACGGCATGTCTGTATGTCTATTCTGTGATTTTATATGATTTTTTGAACATATGCCGTTTTTGGTCGAAAACTCAGAAATCATGACGTCATTAAAACCTCGATATCTCAAAAATTTTCCGACCGATTTTTTTAAAACTTTGTCACAATAAACTTCAATTACTTCCCTACAGGGACCCCAAAATTTGCGCGCCATTTTTATGCTATGGCCCGGCGAAAAAGCCAAAGGGGGGGGCCTTTAACGCCCCCCCCCCCCCAGCAACTCGCGGGTTAACTGTTGATGACAAAAAATCATATCCATTGTTCGTGAAACAAACAGTAGAAATTTCTGGTTACAGCAAAAACCTTGTACGCGTTAAATTACCACGTTTTCTACAACCAAATGATGTTCCATACCTAATTCAACGCATTGTGATCGAAGCGAGACATTCAGGTTGCCCGTTCTATCAATTTCTTAGAAAATTCAGGCACGCTAGTGTACGCGTGATTAATGCTTCAAGTAACCCAATCATTTTGAGAAAAAATCAGAGAATCCCACAAGCCCATCCGACCAAAAAGTACCCCTTCAGTCAGGTCACAGACCGACCCCATCCCATCAGACAGGACGCTGACCTTGCTCAGTACCATGGGTCAGTCAGTACCAACTGTCAAACAGCGCCGTCTGTTCCAAATTCCGCCAGCGTCTCGCCAGCACAAAAAAAAAAACGGTCGCTGGGCCGGACTTAGCTGCGTCAGACAACGGACGCATGACAGACACAAACAAACCGACGACCTCTATTCCGAGGACGTCAGGGCACAGGTCTGTCAGTGACATTGATTTGAAACACAACCCAGTACACTTTCGTTTTAAACTTCGTGAACTCTTAGACAAACATAGACATGTCTTCGGAAACGATATTTCTGACATGCAACAGACAGATGTTTACAAAAATCACAATGGATTCACAGACCACACTCCGGCTGATCAAGTATCAACGAACAAGTCTCCCATTTGCTCATCGGGAGATAACTAAGGAAGATATAAAACGCATGGTAACATCCAAAGTTATCAAACCATTAGTTTCACCATATAACTCTCCAATCATTCTTATAAAGAAATCAAATGGTCAATATCGCCTCGTATCAGATTTGCGACTTCTCAACTCCAACATCAAGGATGACAAGTTTTCTCGTTCATTTACATCACAGGTCAAAGATCAACTTTCTGATTGTGAAGTTTTCTCCCAGGGGCCCGGGAACGATTTTCAAGTTGGGGGGGGGGGGGGGCGAGCCTAAAATACCTGACATGATGCATCTGAAGCAGTGGCGTAGCTAGGGGTCTAAGGGGACACGTAACCCCCCCCCCCCCATCGGGTTCAAAGGGACCCTCGGGTCCGAGAGGCATTGCGGCGCCATTTGACCGCTGAGGGTTAACGATGGCCATTTTTCGACTCGGAAGGGCCCCATTGGGCTCGTTAGAGCACCTCATGGGCCCTAGATAACCACACTAAGATTTCCATAAGGGCCCCACGCTGGCTTCTGAGGGCCTCTTGCAGATTTTAAGGGCCCCTCAGTGGTCTCCAAAGGCCCGTTACTGGCCTCTGAGAGTTCTTACCGACCTATGAGGGGCCAGTTCCAGTGGCATTTCCCGCCTGTGATGGTCACACTTATTTTTCTGAGGGCCCCATAACGGCAACTGTGGGGGCCCTCATCGGTGCCTATGAGGGCCCACACCGGTGTCTCTGAGGGTTTCACACCCTCAACTCTGAGTGCCTACACCAGTGCCTATTAAAGCCCTATATCGGCGGCTCTGAGGACCCAACAGTCAACACCTGCGCATCTAAAGGCCACCCACTGGTGACTTTTGAGGGCCCCACACTGGTGAATCTGAGCCCTGGCGGCCCCACCGGCGTCTGACAGTACCATGCTGGTCTCTAAGGACTCCACAACACTTCTTCTGCCGGCCTAAGGGCCCCTTGCCGGTCACTGAGAACCCCCTGCCGGCTTGTAGAGGGTTCGCGTCAGCAGCTCTAAAGACCCCACATCCGTCTGCAACGGCTCCACACCAGCGTCTATGAAGGCCTACAGCAACGCCTATAAGGACCCTCACCGGCGCCTCTGAGAGAATCACACTAGCACCTCTGAGCGCCCACACCGGCACCTGCATGGCGGCCCCCCACACCAGTGCCTCTAAAGGCCCCTTGCCGGCGGCTCCGAGGGCCCTACGCCGGTGATTCTGAGGGTGCTACCGATAACCGAAGGCAACACACAAGCCCTCAGTGTCGCTGAGCTTTCTAATACCGGCCTTCCGAGGGCGCCACGTCGGTGCACTCATTGCCTCACACCCTTCCCTCACACCCGGAGCGGGTAAACTATGTTATACCTATAGCAACGATTTTACCACCGTTGTACGTTATGTATTTCTCAAAATTGACTCAAAATGGTCCAGTATAACATCTGGCCTGCCAAACTTATGGCCAAGGCCAGGCCTTAACCAAAGCGGGATGATAATAGCAGATGTTGTCAAATCGATACTGTACTGTATCAGCAGAAACCATTCAGATGGCTAGGAAAATGCCGTGTGTTGATGTTTAGATGTATAAAGGAAACAAGAAGGAAAGAAGTCCGGAAAAGGGAGGAAAGATCCTTCCACGCTGCCTCAATGTTGAGGGGGCGCCGCCCCCTCGACTCTCGAGTTGGAGGGGCAAGCGCCCCCACTGCCCCCCTGTTCCCGGGTCTATGTTTTCTCCACCTTGGATTTGCTTAGTTCATTCCACCAAATTTCTTTGAATGAATCTTCAAGTCATTCTACGGATTTTGCAAATGATGACGACAAATATCATATGAACGATAAACCAATGGGTCTTCGTTCAAGTTCCTCCGTTCTCAACAGAGGGTTGCAAATTGCACTCAGTAGTCTACAAGGCAAAGATGCATTTTTATATGTTGACAATATTCTTATCGGTAGCAAAACATACCTACGACGAGCATTTAGAAAAACTCGACGATACATGTTCTCGTTTAGAAGAAATTCATCTTGTGATCAACCCCAAAAAGTGTGAATTTATGAAATCTCAGGTAAAGTATCTGGGTTTCATACTTGACAAACATGGAATTCGTCCAGATGCATCCAAATTACAAGCGGTACAAGATTTTCCTATACCAGTGGGGGAAACTGTGGTCAAATCTTCCAGTTTTGGAAGCCCTTCATTTTTGGAAGGACCTTCCATAAATGGGTATGCATTTTCCAAAAATGGAAGGCTTCCAAAATTGGAAGGCCTAATCTCAGTGTTCCCAACTGTGATTCCCATCCTTTGATTTAAGTTACGGCCTTTTTAAATGTGTAACATTAATAGCTGATTTTGCCATTTAGAATCATTGATATAAGGAGAAGCAGCAGTGCTAGTGTTGGTAATACAGGCATGCTATGTCAGCGTACATAGTGATATAATAGCATGGTGCCCTGGTGCACTGCTCTCTTCTTCTACTTCTAGAGGACACATAGAAATTCAGAAGAGAAAACAACTGGTCAATAACCAACCAGGAGGAACACAGCTATAGTCCTGACAAAAAATGGTTTAAATTAAATTTACTATCCCTCATATAAATTTAAGATTCATGCTCCTTCGATAGAAAGTAAGACGAAAAACAGTGCACCAACGCCTATTTAATTCGTCCCATATTCCGGGGAAACATTGAAAAATGACGACACCTCCACCCAAATGTTTTGCAAAAGCCTTAAAAACTTGAAATCAGCCACGCAATATGCTAATAAATGCAGAAAACAGCAACAAATACATGTTTTACTCGCCACTACCCTCCCGGAACCCCCGCACTCCGTCCCGACAATTCCGCACTATAAACAAAGCCGGCGATATGAAACTAGCATGGCCCATCACTAAAGTACTTTTAGGGATATTTACTTTTCGTTTTTGATGCTTTATGCTTACAAAATGTTTGATAAAGTACTATAAAACCATTGTATGTCGGTAACTTTTTGTCAATTTTCCACGACTCATTACTTTGAAAAATTGCAAAAATTACATCCACGCTAGGATTAAGACATCCACGCTAGATTATGTACACTTCACTATGGCGAATTGAAAGCGACCAGGGGCGATAGTCGCCAGGGATGCGGAGCCGGAGCCGGAGTCGGAGCCGGAGCCGCCGGAGCCGGCATATTTTGCCCGGAGCCGGAGCCGGAGCCGGAGCCGTGAAACAATATAGCCCGGAGCCGGAGCCGGAGCCGGAGCCGCCAAAAAAGGGGGCGACTCCGGCTCCTTTTTATTTTTTGAAGAGGAAAAAAAATAATTGACCTAGTTCGGTTTGACAGTACAAGGCAGTAAAACATATGGTACTTACGTCATGGGCCATCAAGTGAATGAAAAAATCCGAATATCCCCAGTATCCCACAGTACGCAAACAACTTCCTGTTTGCTCTTCCCTCCCCCCCCCCCCCCACGTCTACTGCATCCCCAGAACATGAGGACCAGCCATCAGGTGACGGCCATTGTTTTCAAACCAGTGCAGTGGACTGCGACTCCCAGCATCGTCTCATCCCACACCCCCCCCCCCCCACCCCTCACCCCCCAATGCAGCCGAGACGGGTGTCAGCTTACGATGGTTCACTGAACTCCGATTCGCGGCGACTGCGTTTCCAATGCCATCGCTTCCTAGCCCTTTGTTCTGCCAGTTCTCTCCGAGGTGCGTTTGCGCGGGGACGCGGTGAGCCGGTCATGGCAAAGAGTAACGCGTATAACCAATCCAATTTTCCTTCCACCCGTATTTAATTGATTCAGCGTAGGGGATGTACTGAGTCGGAGCCGGAGCCGCCGGAGCCGGAGCCGCCGGAGCCGGAGCCGCCGGAGCCGGACCATTTTACTCGGAGCCGGAGCCGGAGCCGGAGCCGCCATAACATTTCACCCGGAGCCGGAGCCGGAGCCGGAGCCGATTTTTTTCTCCGGAGCCGGAGCCGGAGCCGGAGCCGTCTGAAATTTCCACGGCTCCGCATCCCTGATAGTCGCATTTGTCTCATGTTGGCGGAAATCAGTAAGTTCCAACATATGCGCAACATTTTCTATATTTGGGTACGATGACGTCGTCATCGTACCCATTTTTGGAAGATGCGTACCCATCTATGGAAAATCCTTCCAATCAGGGATGCGGAGCCGGAGCCGGAGCCGGAGCCGGAGCCGGAGCCGGAGCCGGAGCCGTGAAACAATATAGCCCGGAGCCGGAGCCGGAGCCGGAGTCGTCAAAAAAGGGGACGACTCCGGCTCCTTTTCTTAAGAGGAAACATAAATAATATAAATGGGAAAGGCAATGGGAACGTGTTGTTTTTATATCAAAATTGGTTACACATGTGTTTCGGGAATAATCCCTTGATCACACCATATAAAAGTCGCTATATCCAAATACAATCGAGGTCGAAATTTGCATATAGCTACTTTTATATGGTGTGATCAAGGGATTATTCCCGAAACACATGTATAACCAATTTTAATATAAAAACAACACGTTCCCATTGCCTTTCCCATTTATATCAATACGTATATGTAATAATAATAAAAACATAGATAACAGTAGAACAGGAAACAATGATTTAATAATAATAATAATAATAATGTTTATAAGGCGTCACATATCAGCGACAAACATGCTTTCATACTCATACAGCTCAGGTATTCACAGTAAGCAAACGCAATAGCTTCCGCGACATCTCACATGTGGAGCTCAAAAGGCCTGCTAGGGAGTCTCTGAGACCATTTTCGGGTCGCGGTGCAGTGATGATGTCTGGATCGATATGTCCGGCAACAATATCCATTATCTCATTTAACCCGGTTCCACACATCTGGAATACAATTTGTGCGAAAGATCCGGGAAGTGCTGTGGAGTTACACCCGAGAACAGCGACAGAGAGTAGACCGCTGACCAGGCGATCCGAGCTATTCATCGCTGAATAGAATGTCTTCAGCGTCCGACTGCGTAAAACCTCGTGAACTTGAGGGACGTCAGCAGCCTCCAAAAGCAGCGTATGGTGGGCAAAACGTGGTAATCCCAGGGCAGCTTTCAGACACGAAGATTGCAATGCTTCTAGTCGAATGACATCAGTTGGGCTCAGAGGTGCTACATCGCAGCCAAATACAAGGGCTGGTACCACTACCGCTTTCCACAAGAAAATCTTGTCCTTTGGCGATAGACGTCTGGACAATATTCCAGTCGTGGAGAGGCCATAAAAGCGGCTCTTCCCCGTTTTATGCGCATTTCTGTGTGAGGTGTGCCAGAAAACTTGCAGTCTAGGATCACTCCAAGGTGCTCTGATCGATTCTTTTTTATTAGAATCTGGCCATCGAGGTGCAACGTAGGTAGTTCGGATAGGGTCATTTTACCGGAGCCGGATCATTTTACTCGGAGCCGGAGCCGGAGCCGGAGCCGCCATGACATTTCACCCAGAGCCGGAGCCGGAGCCGATTTTTATCTCCGGAGCCGGAGCCGGAGCCGGAGCCGTCTGAAATTTCCACGGCTCCGCATCCCTGCTTCCAATAATGGAAGGCTTCTAAAAATGGAAGATTTGACCACAGTTTCCCCGACTGATACCAGAAACAGCGAAAGATATTCGTATTTTTCTTCGGTTTGCGAACTATTATCGCAGACACATTCCAAAACTGGCTGAATTTTGGACTCATTAATTCATTTGACATTAATTCCTTTAATGACTGCAAGTTGTTGTATGATGTATGTTGTATGGGGCATTGTTTCATGTTTGGCATATTTTGATCCGACTCTTTTTCTTTCGCAGTCCTTGAGTTCTGTTACCCATCTGGGAGTGGCCACTATCTGACTCCCCGAGCATCGACCACGGAGAAACGCCGATACGCATCACGGTCTGAAAAAGCTGGCTGACCATAGTCATGATGGGACTGGATGCTCATCGCCAACCCATCTGACTGTCTCAGTCGCTCTGCATCTGGTCCACACATCTCGCACACTGCAACTGCGGACGCCATCACCGACTGCAACGGCTGCAACTACAACCAGCAGGTGGCCTAGGTCCAAAGCCAACGCCTGGCTGACCCACATGGCAGCCTGCCGTCGCTACTATCTTCATCTGCTCATCGTGCTTCGCTGTTCTCCGTCCGTTCGTCCGTCACTCTCGTCGCCCGTGCCAGCCGCCATTACCATGGCTGAGCACAACTCGTCGCCCGCCGTTGTCGATGAACAACAGGCTACCAGCACCCTCGCTAACAACACCAAGTTCTGGTATGCTGACGTCTTTTGGAATCTGCATGCTGTGCGGCGGCAGCCAACGCCCCGTGAACGGTAAAGGCCTTACCGTCACGGCGCACCATGGTCGCTGCCCCTTCACAACCAGCTCAGACGTCAGCACCCAAGAAACAGAGGTGTGGCTGGTCCCACGCATCAACAACGGCATAACATCGCGCTGACGATAACAGTGACGACTACAATGACGAAACAACCAAATCGGAGAGCAGTTACAACAGCAGCAGCGAGTAGCGGCGACATCAGCAGTCGTACCCGGCGTTCCATGCGCGGTGTCAAACGTGGATCTATGCAGTTAAGGATCGTGATTGCTTACAGGGTTGGGCAGATAAATTGGGACAAATTTTAACTTCCTCTAAAACGACTAGTTTTTTAGTGATAAAGATAATTTTTGAACATATGTAAATAAAGGCTAATGAATACTTTTCCATATTACGCAGGTTGCGTTGTAATTTTGAGCCGGCTGGTCACAGAACGTGGGCTTAAGCAAGCCACTATCAACTTAGTCCGCGCGCACATGCATGCCAATACTCTAATTATGCTCCATCAAATGGCTGAAAGTAGTGTGTATCGAACAGACGTAAACGTTGGAGGAAGAGATGATATTGACTCATCCTTACATACCTATTGCATTGACACCGGCCGCTCCCCCGGTTTTCCAGGGGGGCTAAAAGGCAAAATTCAGTTAAATCAGAGGATCCTCGCGAAAACAGTGGCGCGAGCTTACAACGAAGGTAGCCGCGCCATGAGAAAACTATATACCAGCACCTCAAACATGTACTCTTATGCATTGATGCATATCAACCTGTTAACATAGATGTTGAAGCAGCTTTGACGTTAAAAAGACTGTTTCCTCTTGAAGGGCTTGGAGAAGCGAGCAAGCACGTGCAGGTCTTTTTCGACGATGGTATCCCCATAACCGAACATATGAACAACCGCAAACACCATGTGTAACATCGCAACCAGCCCAGAAGGCGTGATCTTAGTTCCAAAAAGCATGCAGCAGACATCGGTGATGGCATTCCAATCGGTGACTTCTGACGGTCACGTGGGGCCCCCTCATTTTACGGAATCGGGAGGGGGCTCGCCATTACAGGCTACCCAACCATTATTCCGGCAGTTCGAATCAACAAGATGGTAGAAGGCAACATCCTGCATGGAGTGATGGTCTTCGAGGAGTCAGCTCCCCGGCATACAGTAAATTAAATACAAAATCTCCTGAAACGGAGGATCCCGCAAACTGTACCCAAGGGAAAATGCCCCCTTCCTCATCAATCCTAAGCCCACACAAGTTCTGGTTGCTGGGGCGTTTTTGCGGGTGAGTCTAATGAACGTACCCATGTGACCGCGGTGAGCCTCAGCAGTGCCAGTTGGCTACAATTACGAGCCATTTCAGACGGGAGATCTCGCCGCGCGTGCGGCTAGTCCAGGCACCGATAAGGACTGATGCAGGTGGACCACGGTGACCATATTTGGTGATAAATGTGTAAAATTGGTGTAACAATATGTGATCCAAATTTGAAATGCCTATGTTTACAAATTTCTAAGCTACGGCGTTTTGAATGCAAATATGTATTTTGTCCCAATTTATCTGCCCAACCCTGTTGGTCGCCTCCTTTTGTCGGCTTGTTGGGGGAAGAAAGATATATGGAGAAGGAAATCATGCCTCCCACTCCCGATGGAGGCCCCAAATGTCTGACCCCATTTTTGTCTCTGTCTGGGTGTCTGGGGCGCATAGCGACACGGGACCGCCGGCTCGCTGGCCGGCTGCCCGTCCGGTCACGTGCTTGCGTCCCGACACCCACCATAAAACCATGTCTTTCGTAAATACACTCTCTCACTTCTCCTCTACTGACTGTACCGCCAACACTACCAGCGGACCACGGCTCCGACGAGGGCGGCCGAAATGGCCGGCCCACACAGGCCTCACCATCCCACCTCCGTGTAACAGGCCTCACCCTCCCACCTCCGTGTAACAGCCCTCCCCCTCCCACCTCTGGGTGACAGCCCTCCCCTCCCACCTCTGGGTGACAGCCCTCCCCCTCCCACCTCCGTGTAACAGCCTTCCCCCTCCCACCTCCGTGTGACAGCCCTCCCCCTTCCACCTCTGGGTGACAGCCCTCCCCTTCCACCTCTGTGTAACAGCACTCCCCCTTCCACCTCTGGGTGACAGCCCTAAACCACCCCTGGGTGACAGCCGTAACCCACCCCTGGATGACAGCCCTAACCAACCTCTGTGTGTTTCTTGGCCATGTTGTCGAGCCAGGTGAGCCGCAGGTCCGGCGAGTTCTGGTAGCCCTTGGCGATGCGATACATCAGGTCAAGCAGCATCTCGTGATCCTCTTGGAACTCCTTCATTTTTACTGTGTCTGAGAGGATCATGTGCAGGTTGAACACCAGGTCCGACACCTGTCAACAGCCCGGACGGCGTCACGACACCCGTCACAGACAGCCCCAACAGTTACACGACACCCGTCACAGACAGCCCCAACAGTTACACGACGCCCGTCACAGACAGCCCCAACAGTTACACGACACCCGTCACAGACAGCCCCAACAGTTACACGGCACCCGTCACAGACAGCCCCAACAGTTACACGACACCCGTCACAGACAGCCCCAACAGTTACACGACACCCGTCACAGACAGCCCCAACAGTTACACGGCACCCGTCACAGACAGCCCCAACAGTTACACGACACCCGTCACAGACAGCCCCAACAGTTACACGACACCCGTCACAGAGAGCCCCAACAGTTACACGGCACCCGTCACAGACAGCCCCAACAGTTACACGACACCCGTCACAGACAGCCCGGACGGCGTCACGGCACCCGTCACAGACAGCCCGGACGGCGTCACGACACCCGTCACAGACAGCCCGGACGGCGTCACGACACCCGTCACAGACAGCCCCAACAGTTACACGGCACCCGTCACAGACAGCCCCAACAGTTACACGACACCCGTCACAGACAGCCCCAGCAGTTACACGACACCCGTCACAGACAGCCCCAACAGTTACACGACACCCGTCACAGACAGCCCCAACAGTTACACGGCACCCGTCACAGACAGCCCCAACAGTTACACGACACCCGTCACAGACAGCCCCAGCAGTTACACGACACCCGTCACAGACAGCCCCAACAGTTACACGACACCCGTCACAGACAGCCCGGACGGCGTCACGGCACCCGTCACAGACAGCCCGGACGGCGTCACGACACCCGTCACAGACAGCCCGGACGGCGTCACGACACCCGTCACAGACAGCCCCAACAGTTACACGGCACCCGTCACAGACAGCCCCAACAGTTACACGGCACCCGTCACAGACAGCCCCAACAGTTACACGACACCCGTCACAGACAGCCCCAACAGTTACACGACACCCGTCACAGAGAGCCCCAACAGTTACACGGCACCCGTCACAGACAGCCCCAACAGTTACACGACACCCGTCACAGACAGCCCCAACAGTTACACGACACCCGTCACAGAGAGCCCCAACAGTTACACGGCACCCGTCACAGACAGCCCGAACAGTTACACGGTACCCGTCACAGACAGCCCCAACAGTTACACGGCACCCGTCACAGACAGCCCGAACAGTTACACGGCACCCGTCACAGACAGCCCCAACAGTTACACGACACCCGTCACAGACAGCCCCAACAGTTACACGACACCCGTCACAGACAGCCCGGACGGCGTCACGACACCCGTCACAGACAGCCCGGACGGCGTCACGACACCCGTCACAGACAGCCCCAACAGTTACACGGCACCCGTCACAGACAGCCCGGACGGCGTCACGACACCCGTCACAGACAGCCCGGACGGCGTCACGACACCCGTCACAGACAGCCCGGACGGCGTCACGACACCCGTCACAGACAGCCCGGACGGCGTCACGACACCCGTCACAGACAGCCCCAACAGTTACACGGCACCCGTCACAGACAGCCCCAACAGTTACACGACACCCGTCACAGACAGCCCGGACGGCGTCACGACACCCGTCACAGACAGCCCGGACGGCGTCACGACACCCGTCACAGACAGCCCCAACAGTTACACGGCACCCGTCACAGACAGCCCGGACGGCGTCACGACACCCGTCACAGACAGCCCGGACGGCGTCACGACACCCGTCACAGACAGCCCGGACGGCGTCACGACACCCGTCACAGACAGCCCGGACGGCGTCACGACACCCGTCACAGACAGCCCCAGCAGTTACACGGCACCCGTCACAGACAGCCCGAACAGTTACACGGCACCCGTCACAGACAGCCCCAGCAGTTACACGGCACCCGTCACAGACAGCCCCAACAGTTACACGACACCTGTCAACAGCCCGAACGGCATCACGGCAACCGGTCACAGACAGCCCGGACGGCGTCACGGCACCCGTCACAGACAGCCCGGACGGCGTCACGGCACCTGTCACAGACAGCCCCAGCAGTTACATGACACCCGTCACAGACAGCCCCAACAGTTACACGACACTCGTCACAGACAGCCCGAACAGTTACACGGTACCCGTCACAGACAGCCCACCTGTCCGGGGAAGGTAGTCTCGGCCAGCTCGAGGTCGCTCTCGGCGTACTCGAGGATGGTTTTCAGAGAGCGGCGCAGGAAGCCCTCGCTGAAGTTGTGACTGGTGCCGACCAGCGAGCTGAGCGACATGGTCACCTGCATCTTGACACGGGCAAAGTTCTGCGAACGGCGGCGGCAGCGTCCGTCGGACGGCGGCGCAGCACACAACAGTCAGGCGACAAGACAATGCATAACTAACTGGGGCGTTCCACGACAGGTCGACCGAAAAAAAAAAATCGCGAAAAAAACACCTTACCTCTCGCATTCGATTGCATATCTCGGAATTTTGATATCCATGGTGTGTCTGAAGTGGAAATAGCCGCATGGCTTTACTTCTCCAGCCTTGCCAATAGATGGCAGTACCGCAATATGGGCGACGGATCGTGCAATTCACGTCAAATTTTCGGTACTTGCTAAGAATTGAATGGCGGATCTTGTCATGCAAGAATCAAGTAAATCGGTCCGCAACTTTTCTAACAACAGGGGTACAAAGTCAAATACCCTGCCAGAGCGGCGGCGCGGCGGCCGGCGCACAGTGGGCGTTTCAGGGGTTCTAGCCTCTCACAACCTTTCAACCCTTATAGCCTGGGATCTAGGAGACCTACGCCTACGAATTACACACCAAACTGTAGCGAATTCATTAAAGAACGTGAATGCATGACGTTTCCCATGTTATAAGCTTTCGCAATGTGCAGGAACTGCATGAAATGTTGCATAAACGTGGCAAAACGGAGCACTTCCATTCCCCCTTGCCGTTTGGCCCCTGATCAAGCTAGAGCTTCGCAGAAAAACGAGCGTGCTGCCCGTGATGACAGGAAGCCGATGATACCCAATTTTAAAATCCTAGGTCATTGGTTGACCTTCCAGGTCAGGTCAATTACCCAAAAGTCGGGAAAATTGGAACCTGTTAAAACATCGTAAAGTGAGGTTGCTTAGGGGCTTTTCGGGGTGCTGATCACGAATATCATGTTAGTTTTGATCACAGACGATGTCTTCATGCATTTAGGCCAGGTCGGGCCAGGTCAGGTCAGGTCAACCAGCAAGGGTTTTGCCGGGTATTCATAGTAGGTGTCAACCGCTACTCACAGCCTCGTAACATGATATGAAGGCACCAAAACTACTTCGTAAATGCTTAAATGGTTGCTAAATTCGAAATCAGCTCCGAAAAACTAGCCTAGAAACATGTAAAACTCGAAAAAGTGAACCGAGGTCACCAAAGGTCAATGACCTGACCTGACTTTCAGGTGACCTTGACACCCAGCATAATGCATGGGACCAACATCATTTCACATGGTTGAACGTTTGAAACCACAAAAAGACTGCAAACGCGCGGATAATGTAAACCGACATACGCCGAATCGCGATTCCGGCCAGACATGTTCTGAGAACATAAAATCTGTTAATCCCAGCTTAACAGCATCGTGGAAAAATGGCAACACCCTCGCCAAATGCCTGGTACAGCCCACCGCTAAAGTAATGTAGGGTTTTACCAATCTCAACGGTTGGCTTTGACTGGCGATTGTTTAATGCGGAGTGATCGAAAAGAAGATGTCAATAGCTAAAGTTGCAGCTGCAAGGGTGACGATACATATAAGCTACATTCAAAGTTTCATTGTAGTCTGGCTAATCGTTCCTAAGCTTCAGAAGCAGAACATACCCATGACTGAAACCGCACATTACTTCTGCTGTGGACTGTACATCCGGCTTTAGAGCCCCCACCCTGTCGCGCAGGGAAACAGTTCTGCCGTACGTGTAACAATGGACTACATGGGCGATGCACAGCGAAAAATGTCGTCTATAAGATCACATGTATGATGTGCGCAGCTGCCGACGGGCCTCCTCAGACATACATTGGAGAAACAAAGCGCTGTGTCAGATACAGGTTCGATGAGCATTTTAGAGACGGCACCAATCGCACGAGGCAGACTCCCTTTGGAGAACATATGAGGGAGAGCCATCCGAATGAGTCAGAGCCTCGGCTATCTGTCACCATTCTTCGCAGATGCAAAGACGCAGCTGACCGGAAGATAGCCGAGGCTCAGGCTATCCGAGATAAGCAGCCCTCTCTGAATGGCCAGATCGACACATGGCCACTGCTCCACTGAACTTTTGTGAGCCATCGATCGATGTGTTTGTACATGTTGCGCGTATGTAATGTATTCGTCGTGATGTTTTGATACATTTGAGTACGAGGCAGGGGTGTAATTTTCCCAAAATGATTGTGGGTGCTCAGCTGTAGGGGCGCCAGGCCGCTTAGGGGACGAAGGGGCGCCAGAAGGCTACAAGGGCGCCGTGAGACCATGACAAGGGCGCCATTCTCCCAGAAGGGCGCCAAGTGATTAAAAACGCTTTATGATCCAGGGGCGCAGAGACGTCAGAAGGGCGCCGCACAGTCAGCAATGGTAAGTTGGTGGGGACGTAGGGGCGCCAGACGGTTACGAGGGCGCCACGAGACCATGAAAAGGGGGCGCCATTCTCATAGAAAGGCGCCCGAGTGATTGAAAACGCTATGTGGTCCAGGGGCGCTGAGAGGCCAGAAGGGCGCCGAACAGTCGAGGGATGCACGGTGGACAGAGACTTAACCCGCGAGTTGCTGGGGAGGGGGGGGGGGCGTTAAATCACATCATCATGCATGAATTTGCATTTGTTCATGTCTACCTTGCTCAATTCAGCTTAGTATTATGCCCATTTGGCCGCGCTCAGATGTATTATTATTGTATTATTATTATGCGCCGGAAATGTCAGAGGCTGCACAGGCATCGGCTCGGGTGGAGTGGGGGTAGCGCCCGGTGGGGCAGGGTAACCTTTGACCGGTCGCGCGGCCGAGCAGCTGTCACCAGTACAGTCTCTGACAGTGAAACCCCGCTAACTTCCCCTGTGCGGGCAATGAGCGCAGCTGGATGGAACAAAACATGCATAAGAAAAATGTAAATTTAAGCATGTTGTAAATCTAGCAGAACAATGATTTTTCTTCACAGGTATCCTGTATAACTTTAATAGCGATGCGGACAGTTAAACTAACAAATATGATGATATTTGTTTAGTAGAACGAGAGCCGAACGTTATTTCCGTGGGCGGTCAGGCGGGCCGAGAGCGCCGGGTCTGCGAGTTGATAAGGGTCATTTCACGCTTCTGCGTGTCTGATTTTGGTCCATCGTGACACTGAGCTGTGTGATTGCGCCTTATTGTCGGCTGTGGGAGACGCATATTAGCCCTCGCCCCGCTGGGGGGGGGGGGGGGCAATTTGCCCCCTGTGGTTTTTCCTGACTAGCAAGAAAACGCCAAATTTTCAGTTCCTTTCCGGGCATCAATTTGACACCTTCACACAAGATTTCAAGTATTAGGTCCCCTTAGGTCAGGAGTTATTGAGGTCCAACTGAGGTCATGTTCGAGCAAAAATGAGCAAAAAATATGAAATCTTAAAACGCTCACAAAATCTAGTAACCAAGCAATTTCAAAGTTCTTTATATGGTTATGTAGACAAAAGGCGGCACTACAAAATTGTCATCTCGGATTTTCAAAATTTTGGGTTTTTGACCCCCAAAAATTCAAAAAATTGATGTTTTTAGAAAAAAACAAAAAATCCCAAAAAATTCCCGAATTTCGAAAAAACGGAATATATGTGATAGTCCCTGCGCTCTTCTATATACATACCAAATTTCAGATCGATACCTCCTTTTTGGTCAAGTTAACGTTCAAAATTGATGACGTCAAATTTTTGAACTCAATTTGTAGTATGTATTCACATCGTGCAATCGGTCCATGAACACATGGCTATTATGATTGACATGTCATAAAAACGGAACATCGGGATTCAGTTGCACAACTAACACACACACTCACGCACACACACTCAGCTCACATCACATTTGTACATCGCGCTACTCGTTTTGTTGTTTTGCCAGAAGATGTTTGCGGAGTTTTAGCCTGAACTCTCGCGTTCCCATGTTGTGGAAACTCGGCGGCAATTCATTGTAGCCCGTGACGGCAGAAAACAGAAATCGTCGGCGTCCCGATTCCGTCCGTATTACAGGTCTCTCCAGCATGTCAGCCTATCTGGTCACACGGCGGTGAATGTTACCCCGGGTCACGAGGCTACTGTACAGGGTTTCAGGCTGGCAAGCTGACAAAATCTGTTTTAACATGGTCAGAGAGTGGTAGAGGTGCAGATTTTTTGCTGACAGCCACTTCAGCGTTCTCAACACGTCACTGATGTGGTCGTATTTGCGGCGGCCTGAAATAACGAGTGCGCCGAAGTTGAGCAGTTTCTGCAGTCTCGCCATTTGTGTGGTGCCGCACACACCATATACACTAATACAGTAGCGCACCGATGAGACGACGAGTGCCTGTACAATGGTAGCGAGCGTATCCGGTGGAAGCGCGTGCCTACTGTGGCTAAGTCCGCTTAGTAAGCCGGTGCATCGTCTCACAACGTCGTCCACAGGTGCCGAAAAAGTCATATTTCTATCGAAAACTACGCCAAGGTTTTTGACAGTGACGGAACCGGTAATCGTAGCCCCCATAAACTGAACCCGTGTCGGAGGCATCGAGCGGAGATTTTGACCTGTTCCGATGACGAGCAGCTGTGTTTTGTTAGCGTTAACCTTCAGTCCATTTTTACGAAACCATAATGACAACACTTCCAGGTTCCTCTCTAGTCTAGGGACCAGTTCACCGTCACTGGGCCTACCAAACACTGCCATTTGCACGTCGTCAGCATACTGCACGAGACAGCGGTCGTGGGCAATATCTGCATCGAGGTACAGCGGCATGTCCGCTGCGTAGACAGCGTACAGCAAAGGACCCAGCGCAGATCCTTGATACGTGCCTATCGGGTTCAGTAGAGGCCTCGAGAGCGTACGACCCCCATCCGGTGTGCTTATGAGGACCTGTTGATAGTGTCCCGACAGATAGCTCTCGAACCAGCGCACATCGACATTATACTGCATGAGTTTAGTGAGCAGCCGGTCATGTGGAATCACGTCAAAACATTTAGACATGTCTAGCAAACACAATAGCGCCACCTGTCGGTTGTCCATAGCCTCGAATATACGGTCGGTCATGGTCAGCAGCGCTGTGTCGGTAGAGTGACCGCTTCTGAAACCGTGCTGGCAGGGTGGGAGTAGGTGGTGAGTCGAGAAGTATTCGAACAGTTGTTCGTATACTACTCGTTCCGTTATCTTGGATATAGTTGGGAGGATCGAAATGGGTCGATAGTTGGATGTTTCAGTGGACTTTGGTGACTTTTGGATGGGATGAATATAGGTAGGTTTCCAGGATAGGGGTACAGTGTGGGAAGCCAGACTGGAGTTCACAATATGTGTGATGACGTGATATATATATATATATATATATATATATATGTATATATATATATACGGCAGACAGAGCTTAACGAACCGCACGCATAGACCGTCGGCACCGCACGCCGAGCTACCGTTCATTTGCGCCACGGTCGCCACCAAACTCTCAGGTGTCCCCGTGCGCACCACAAACCGGCCGGTAGACACGCGCGCCAGGCGCACCGGCAGCTCCGGACCCGATGTATCCACCTGGCGGGCGGTCACGGTTCCGACACTGGCGAAGTATCGGTTCATGGTGTCAGCATCAGCGCCGGGCGCCGGTCTGGTCGGCTGTTTGGCTGAAATGACAGGTCGTATGGTGCGCCACATCGAGCTCCGTCCGCTGGCCAGGATGCGCCGATGTATTTCCTCGCTGGTGTCCCGGCGTATGGCTGCTCTCACGCGGCGGTTCAGCTCCTTGTAGAGGGGCCGGTCACCGCTACGGAGAGCCGCCCGTCTCCGCGCCATGAGCTCCTTTGTGGCCTCGGTGACGGGGGGAGCGGTCGGGTTACGAGTCTTGAACCGTTTAGCGGGGGCGAGATTGTCAATAATCGGTAAGGCCGCCTTCACAAAGTAGTCCCACTGAGCCTCCGGCGCGGTACTCTCGAACACCGGAGACCAGTCTACACACTGCAGCAGCCGGCCGGCCTCTGCCACGTCCAGTTTACGCCAGCACCGGGCCGTCGAGCTACAGCGCGCCGGTCAGTAATCTGGCACCGTCACAAGCACCCGTGACCACCGATGTGGGCTAAAGTCACAGTGGAGCGATCCAGAGCGCACTACCTCACTGTTACTGCATATCACGTCGATTGTCGATCCCGACGGTTCGTAGGTGGGGCCGCGAATGTGTTGCTGCAGGGAATACGTGAAGAGCAGCTCCCGCATCCTGTTGGCCGCAGTGCTGTTGTTGCCGTCGGACATATTGATGTTGACGTCACCGGTCAGGAAGATGAGTCCACTGTGCCTGGTCAGGATGTATTGCACCTGCCGTTCTAGCTCATCTAAGTCAGATGTCACACGAGCGGACGTCTGCACTGGTGGCCTGTACAGCGAGCACAACATCACCAACCGTTTTCCCGTGCGGACTTGGACCCAAAGAGTCTCTATTTTGGATCCCTCGCTCTGTTCACCGGGACAGTCAATAACGGTCACCTCCAAAGCATCGCGTATTAGCACCGCGACGCCCCCGTATCCTCGACCGTCCGGCCTGTCTTTCCGAATAAGCTGGTATCCGGGGACGGGAACCAAGCGATTAGGTGTGGCTGGCTTAAGCCACGTTTCACTTATCGAGATAATGTCGAATCTATGTTGATCGATGTCCTGGCGCAGCTCAAGCAGGTGTGGCTTGAGGGACTGCACGTTGATCGCAATTAATAGCAATTCTAGACCATGTAGCGCAAAACAAAGACCACCATGGAACTCCCCGTGACGAGCTGCATTGAATCGATACCCATTTTATGCAAAAATATCATCTTTGAAATTTGACCTAATTTGACCTGACCTTGACCTGACCTTCACCAGAACATAATCTTAACTGACCCCAAAGGCTGCCTGACCCACATAATCGTATTTGGCATATAAAATGGACCATAAAACATGAATCACATGATATTTTCATATTGTGACCCTCAGTGACCTGACCTCTGTGACCTGACCTGGTATCAGTGACCTCAAATAGCAAAATATGTGTTTGACGAAAATTCCCCCATCGACGCTTTTCAATGAAATGTATTTTACTCGCTTTTACAACGCATTTCTTGAAATACATGTAAACGGTGAAAAATCGACCTTTGACCTGACCTGTGACGTCATCGGTTTGACCTAGGTCAATGAAATTGGGTCACAAGGTAGTTCCCTGATGGGGCTATCCAACACCGTTTGTCGCTTGTCGCTATGTTGCGTGGCTCTCGAGATATTGGGGGGGGGGCCAAATCCCCCCCCCCCCCCCCAGCAGGGCGCGTTGCTCGGCAGACCCCAACGGGGCGCGGGTTAATGCTGGAATTATCGATTCGCTAAATATTGCTCTTTTGGCGTTCAGCTTTCACTGGAACTTGAAATAGCATATTTATGTTTTCAAGAATTCCCGGGACAGCCCGCTAAATAAGAAATTATCAACTTTTCACAAAAACGCCATTTTATATAAAAAAGGCCATCGATCGATTTTGATAAAAATTACATTTTTGGATTCAGCTAATCGTGAGCTTTCGAATGGTATATATCGCTCCTTTTGAGCCTGAGATGACCTTCCAAAGAACCGTGCAGTCAGCCTGTCCCTTGACCAAATTTTCAAGATAACCTTTGTATGTCAAATTTAGCTCATTCGACGCGTCTCGACGAGAGGAACATGGTACCGGTAAAGTCAACGTAATGCAGGTTTTGGGTAAAAAGAAATTGCAGAAATAAGTTTGGACGCAAAACAGCCAATTCCTACAGTTCATGCCATGTGGAGGCCAAGCTGTTAAACTTAGGTCAAAGGTCAAATCTGAGATTGACTTTTAAACGAAAGTTATTTCGAAAGAACCTTGAAACAGCTACCAAACGCGCTTTTCCGCAGCGTTTTAGCTCTATCCGTTGCCGAATTTGTGTTCATTGTCAAACATGGTCGAAATGGGAGTAATTCTACCTCACTTCTGATGATCCTTGGTGACCTGACCTAAGAAATGAGCCTAATCAATGTCAGAATTTTTGACGCTCTTTCGAAGCCGGCTACCAGGTATCATCATCGTTTCCCAGGAGCCGAGTTACAAAGGAGTGTTCACACACGCACACGCACACGCACATACACACACACGCCCCCCCCCCCACACACACACACACACCATCATCAGAAGGAACTGTGAAATCCAGGAGCCCCAGCGGGGCGCGGCTTATTGGATATGGCTGTTCAACTAAAATTGTTTTTCTTATACACTGGTAAGTGATAATAGTGAAAAGAAATTCATAAGCAGCGCTGCAGCTGTGAGAGTTTGCTGACACCACTAGGATTCGGAGAGCGCCATCAGGCCGCTGGCTACTCACATTGCCAATCTCAAAGTTTTGCCTCATGAGCAGGTAGAGCGAGGCGGAAGCTTGGCTGCGCGTACTGGAGAAGGTGCTGCTGCAGTGCTCCAGTAGTCGCAGGCACAGGTCGGCGCAGTGCTCCGTCTCCTCATCAAACAGCAGAGACGGGTACTGGCAGACAGACACGTCAGACACGTCACGCACGTCAGTCAGACACGTCAGACAGACACGTCAGACACGTCAGACAGACACGTCAGACACGTCAGACAGACAGACACGTCAGACAGACAGACAGACAGACAGACACGTCAGACAGACAGACAGACAGACACGTCAGACAGACAGACAGACACGTCAGACAGACAGACAGACAGACACGTCAGACAGACAGACAGACAGACACGTCAGACAGACAGACAGACAGACAGACACGTCAGACAGACAGACAGACAGACAGACACGTCAGACAGACAGACAGACAGACAGACAGACAGACAGACAGACAGACAGACAGACAGACAGACAGACACGTCAGACAGACAGACAGACAGACACGTCAGACAGACAGACAGACAGACAGACACGTCAGACAGACAGACAGACACGTCAGACAGACAGACAGACAGACACGTCAGACAGACGACAGACAGACAGACAGACAGACAGACAGACAGACAGACAGACAGACAGACAGACAGACAGACAGACAGACAGACAGACAGACAGACAGACAGACAGACAGACAGACAGACAGACAGACAGACAGACAGACAGACAGACAGACAGACAGACAGACAGACAGACAGACAGACAGACAGACAGACAGACAGACAGACAGACAGACAGACAGACAGACAGACAGACAGACAGACAGACAGACAGACAGACAGACAGACAGACAGACAGACAGACAGACAGACAGACAGACAGACAGACAGACAGACAGACAGACAGACAGACAGACAGACAGACAGACAGACAGACAGACAGACAGACAGACAGACAGACAGACAGACAGACAGACAGACAGACAGACAGACAGACAGACAGACAGACAGACAGACAGACAGACAGACAGACAGACAGACAGACAGACAGACAGACAGACAGACAGACAGACAGACAGACAGACAGACAGACAGACAGACAGACAGACAGACAGACAGACAGACAGACAGACAGACAGACAGACAGACAGACAGACAGACAGACAGACAGACAGACAGACAGACAGACAGACAGACAGACAGACAGACAGACAGACAGACAGACAGACAGACAGACAGACAGACAGACAGACAGACAGACAGACAGACAGACAGACAGACAGACAGACAGACAGACAGACAGACAGACAGACAGACAGACAGACAGACAGACAGACAGACAGACAGACAGACAGACAGACAGACAGACAGACAGACAGACAGACAGACAGACAGACAGACAGACAGACAGACAGACAGACAGACAGACAGACAGACAGACAGACAGACAGACAGACAGACAGACAGACAGACAGACAGACAGACAGACAGACAGACAGACAGACAGACAGACAGACAGACAGACAGACAGACAGACAGACAGACAGACAGACAGACAGACAGACAGACAGACAGACAGACAGACAGACAGACAGACAGACAGACAGAGACAGACAGACAGACAGACAGACAGACAGACAGACAGACAGACAGACAGACAGACAGACAAAGATAGTCACAGACACATCAGGCACATAGACAGACAAACGATACCTCAGACACATACACAGACAAGTCAAAGTGCTCGAATGCAACTGCAATACCGCATGGTCACGCGCATGAGAAAAAACTAGCCCAACTCTCAATGAAAACGTCCAAGTACCATTGAGATTTGCGGGGGGATTTAGCGGCGTCCACACCTACCTTTGTGACTAGGGAGCGCTGGGTGGCCAGCATATTGGCGATGACGGCGGTGCTCTGGTTGCAGGAGAGAGCGTGCAGCAGCACGCGGAACGCCATGCCAAGCAGGCCGTGCAGGCTGTCCTGGCTGGAGAGCACCTGTACACACAATTACACAGATCCTGAGATGAGACCGCACAACGGCCAGTGTCCACTGTCCAACACATGGAGCACCTAGCACATTACCTTCGCCCTGGTAATAGTGTGGGAAGGTGGGAAGGGACAGACAGGTGCCAAACTGACCCACCGAGATACAACTCGAGACGCGTAGAGTCGCGAAGTCGCGAAGTATGCCTTCAGGGTAGAGATGCCACTTTTGAACCCGCGAACCCGCTTTCTGCGGGTTTTCAAAACCCGCAGGGTTTTTGGCTGGTTCGAGAAGCAAAACTTGTCGTGTGGCGGGTATTTGGCGGTCAGACTTAAGAACCTATAAATTTATTTTTTTAGATGCAAAACACAATGTCAAGTGCATTTGCTGAGGTTAACAATACAATATTCATCAAAACAACTTTTAAAACAGAACCAAATATAAAAATATATCAAGGTAGCACATTTCAAATGCAAAACTGAAAACAACCAGCAATAGCATCCACAGTCTAGCAATGACCAAACCAGGGTACAAGCAACAAACTACAAAGCGTAAGTAAATGCTGATGAAAGCATTCCATAAAACATAAATGAACCCGAAAGCAAACTTATAGGAAGCTGAACTGAAGTCTATGTGCAGTGTGCACTAGATATACATTATGGAAGAACCCAGACTTAAATGAGATGTTGAAAATCAGAGCAAATGCCACATGTTACTTTATTTGCGTCTGGTCGGCATAAAAAAGAGCTATCAGCTAAACAAAATTTGATGCAATGCAAATTCATTAATTGCCTATCCTACTCTATGTTCTGTCCCACCCTATATTACGAAAATAACACCAATTACCCTTACAAAAAATCAAAATATTGACTGGCATGCGGCCCAAACATAACGCAATACAAAACAGGCGCACTTCCGACATTCTGACAAGGATTGGCATTTGACTGCGTCAATTTTGATCTCTGAGGCGAAGGAAAGCTGACATTGATGACGCAATAATAATTTTACAATCAATTTTTTCTGTTTTGGTTTTTGAATACCTCATAATAGCAGTTATACATGTTACAAAACCACGTAGCTGGTCGCATTTATTTCTTTTGTCTTTTTACTTGTCATTTGTATGCCGAGAGATGACCAGCCCGAGAGCATTACCAAGACCATCTTTAAAATTATTACATTTTATTTAGTATTTACTGTCTCTTTATTTTTTAACAGGTGATTAACTCTGAATTGTAAAACTTTAGCTGTTGTGTAAAATAACTTTATCAGAATGGCACATGAATATGTATTATGCAACGGTGTTTTCGCAACAACTTCGCACTAACTACGGCTGCAATAATTTAGTCGCTGTAACATTCCTTGCAATCAGCTGTTGGTGACGCTTCTGACGCATGTTTCAAGAAACGCGTGGTTCATTGGTGGTTAGTTGGTTTTTGCTGGGATTTTGCATGATTTGTTTTATGTGTAGATCGACTGGATACTCATTATTCAACGTGTCACTATTTACTTTTTAACTGGAAATCGCATATCTTCTTATATCAACATTCATTTTGATAACACTATCATTCTAGAAGCCTAATATTGAGAGGGAGCTAGAGTGAAATTTTGATCCTCAGCCAATGCTGAAGGGTAAGGTGAGAGAAAGATTTTACTGAACTCTTTTCAGAAAGGAATTTCAAATGTATTGATGCATTATTCATTTTCCACTATCCAGTGTGCACTTCCTGAGGACTTAGCATAGAAATTTCAAGTCCTTACTATTTGTTTGGCTGCCTTTTTCTGCACAGCAATGAAGCAAGTAAGGTTTATTTAGCTCTAGCATTGACCCAGCTGTATTTTTTTCTTGCAAAAGCAGGTTTTTAAAATTGCGGGTTTTTTGCGGGTTCGGCTCAGCCAAAATCAGCTTGCGGGTAGTTGTGGTTGGGCAAGGGGTAGCTGCGGGGCGGGGCGGGTAATGAAATTGCAAATTTGTGGCATCTCTACTTCAGGGTGTAAAGACAGTTTCTGGAAATATTTCTTCCAGCTACCCGCATTTAACCATCGCATGCACATGCAACCCTCCTAAGGTTTTTCACATATACAGGGTTGGGCAGATAAATTGGGACAAAATACATATTTGCATTCAAAACGCCGTAGCTTAGAAATTTGTAAACATAGGCATTTCAAATTTGGATCACATATTGTCACACCAATTTTACACATTTTCACCAAATATGGTCACCGTGGTCCACCTACATCAGTCCTTATCGGTGCCTGGACTGGCCGCACGCGCGGCGAGATCTTCCGTCTGAAATGGCTCGTAATTGTAGCCAACTGGCACTGCTGAGGCTCACCACAGTCACATGGGGGCGTTCATTAGACTCACGCGCAAAAACGCCCCAACAACCAGAACTTGTGTGGGCTGAGGTTTACTGAGGAAGGGGGCATTTTCACTTGGGTACAGTTTGCGGGATCCTCCGTTTCAGGAGATTCTGTATTTAATTTACTGTATGCCGGGGAGCTGACTCCTCGAAGAGCATCACTCCATGCAGGATGTTGCCTTCTTTCATCTCGTTGATTCGAACTGCCGGAATAATGGTTTGGTACCCTGTAATGGCGAACCCACTCCCGATTCCGTAAAATAAGGGGGCCCCACGTGACCGTCAGAAGTCACCGGGTGGAATGCCATCACCGATGTCTGCTGCATGCTTTTTGGAACTAAGATCACGTCTTCTGGGCTGGTTGCGATGTTACATGGTGTTTGCGGTTGTTCATATGTTCGGTTATGGGGATACCATCGTCGAAAAAGACCTGCACGTGCTTGCTCGCTTCTCCAAGCCCTTCAAGAGGAAACAATTTTTTTTTAACGTCACAGCTGCTTCAACATCTATGTTGACACGTTAATATGCATCAATGCATAAGAGTGCATGTTTGAAGTGCTGGTATATCGCTTTCTCTTTTGAGTATTTTTGGAGTGATAAAGAAAATTTTTGAACATAAATATAGGCTAATGAATACGTTTCCATGTTATGCAGGTTGTGTTGTAATTTTGAGTCGGCTGGTCACAGAACGTGGGCTTAAGCAAGCCACTATCAACTTAGTCCGCGCGCACATGCGTGCCAATACTCTAATTATGCTCCATCAAATGGCTGAAAGTAGTGTGTATCGAACAGACGTAAACGTTGGAGGAAGAGATGATATTGACTCATCCTTACATACCTATTGCATTGACACCGGCCGCTCCCCCGGTTTTCCAGGGGGGCTAAAAGGCAAAATTCAGTTAAATCAGAGGATCCTCGCAAACACAGTGGCGCGAGCTTACAACGAAGGTAGCCGTGCCTTTGTACTTTCGGTTAAACATTTATAGTTCGTTTTTTCTAAGTTCGACCCTCACTGTAATCGTCTCTTTGAACAAAGCACGAGAATTGTTAGCTGAATTACTGAGAAAACTGACTGACGCACATTGATTTCACAGACGATTAATTTCCTTCAAAAGTATTTCTTGCTGGCTCTTAGTTCCCAGACTCCTAGCTCGTATTTGCCTATATTTACAACCCCACAGGGAAAGACGACTTGTCAGAAATTATAATTGAACTAGTCAATAAATCGTACGGTGTTTAACAGAAGGGTATATTATCGGCGTTAAAAACTTATTTGGAAAATATTATTCGTAACTCCAGTACAATGTGCGGTAACCAGTTTTTTTAAGTAATTCAGCTAACAATTCTCGTGCTATGTTCAAAGAGACGATTACAGTGAGGGTCGAACTTAAGAAAAACGAACTATAGTTATCTGTCTCCAGTCCGGAGCCAAACCAAGTTCTGCATCCCACTTACGTTCGCATGAACACGTTGCATTTAGTTTAGGTTTTACTAAAATTATATAAGCCCATTTCGTGGTACTTTCTACGTTGAATAACCTTTCCAATGTTATATGAGCATCTGACGCAGGTTCAGAGCATCGTTGCACCGATCGCCATTCCGATGGTATCTTGCTGACCAGTGAGTTACACGTCATTATGTCCAAACCACTCCATTTCTGTTTTTATTCTAGTGCAGTAAACCACTTCTTTGACGGAAAGTTATACAAATTTTTTACATGTGTGATCTGCAATGCCTTCATTGCTCGCAATTGATACTTCGTAAATGATGATTCAATGTTTAAGTTCCGATTTAAAAACAAAACCTGTGTCATAATCTCGTCTGTTTCACCACTGCTCTGTAGTATCTGGGCCCATGCTGACAGTGCCTGGTCCCAGAACATTGGGAGATGTCTCCGTCGGATTTGCAAGACGCCAATGTTACATTGAAAGATATTGAACCTGTCGCTGACCTGAAAGTACTCATTTACAAATAATTTCCAGCTCGATTCTTTCGGATCCAACCAACGTTTGATCCATGCTACTTTAAGTGCGTTTGCGAACGATTCAACGTCTGGCGCCCCAATGCCACCTTCTAAGAACTGTCTCTTTGCTATTCCACGTTTTATTTTATCCTTCTTTCCCCATATGAATTTAAATAACAACGATTCCAACTTTCTTATGTAGGCATTATCAGGATTCTCAATTACAGCGAACACGTGGACAAATTTAGAAAGCAAGAGTGATTTCACTAGAATTACTCTGCCGAGCGGCGTTAGACTCCTTTGTACCCATGGGGACATGGCCTTCTCTATTTCTTCAAGCTTACCACTATAATTTATATCTCTTGTACGTTGACTGTCGGGAAGTATTTTGACACCGAGCAGTTCTAAAAAATCTCCTATTTTTAACCATTTCAGATTTAACTCCTGACAAATCGAGGCACCCCGATGCCTTGTAACACCCATCCATGAACATATCGTCTTTCCCATATTAAGCTGTAGACCTGAGACCACTCTGAATTCATTCAACACATTTACTGCATGCCTTAAGGAGCTTTCCGATCCATCTAAGATCAGAGTTAGGTCGTCTGCATATGCCGACGCTCCATATTGTTATATGACCGATTTCCTCTTTTAAACGCTCTCCATACTTCATCCCAAAAAGCCTCAACTTTTGGGCAATGTACAAATAAATGTGATGCTGTTTCTACAGCTCGTTTACAAAAAACGCACTGGTCATCCTCGACCATTCCGAACAACTTTAACATTTTTCTCGTTGGCAATATTCTGTGCAAGATGCGAAATTGCAGCCATCTCAGAATTGAGAAAAGAGCATAGAATATGGTGTTAAGCTTCACTAAGCTGTAAGAACTTATTTGTTCTTTTTAAGCTCGTTTAAAAATGAAAATTTTTAACATGGAAAGTCAATGGGAGTGTCTTTGTTGTTTAATAACTTTTGCGTTGAAGCTATATTTAAGTAAGAAGTTAATAATTTATACAACTTTTGATGCTCTTTCCAATGATATATAGAACGTTATTGCACGTTGTGCCATTTTTGTTTAATCTAGTAAAAAAGCACGGCATTACCGAGATTTAAGCTCAGACCTATATATGGCCTTTGCTCAGGCAGTATACGAACAGGTGACGGGGATACCTCCCATAGAAGGATGCGACACGAATAATTGGGCGCTTTCATCTAGGAGATTTTTGCAGATATCTTTTTGATTTGTGAAAAAGACCAAAAAGCTGAATCTCTGGAATCCTAGCGGTATGCCAGCCGTTGATAAATTATTATCTTGCTGCGGCCGGGCGTTTATTTGCGGTGTTTGCGTTTGGCGGCTGGCGGGCGACTTTTAGTCGTTTTCGGTTAGCAGTTAGCGTCGGTGCGATGCGGGCGGTTTTATTTTTTCGGCGTTTCGGCGTTTTTTTTTGTGTGGTTTGCGGCGGTCGGGCGATTTTTTTTGACGTTTGCGTTGGCGTTTCGGGCGTGCGTTTTGCATGTTTTGCGGTGTTTACGTTTTGCGGCGGGCGGGCGTTTTTTTTTGCGGTGTTTGTCTGGCGGCGGGCGGGCGGGCGGGCGATGCGGGCGGTTTTATTGTTTGCGTCGTTTGCGGTGTTTAATTTGTTTGCGATTGGTGGCCGCTTTTTCGCTTTTTGCGGTGTTTGCTTTTGGCGGCGGGCGGGCGATTTTTAGGCGTTTTCGGTTGGCGGTTAGCGGGCGTGCGATGCGGGCGGTTTTATTGTTTTGCGGCTTTTTGCGTTTTTTTTATTTGCGGTTTGCGGCGGGCGGGCGTTTGTTTATTTTTGCGACGTTTGCATTGGCGTTTCGGGCGTGCGTTTTGCACGTTTTCCGGTGTTTGCGTTTTGCGGCGGGCGGGCGTTTTTCACAATTCAAAGTCCAAACCTTCGGGCCACAGCGCTCCTCGAAAAGCGCTGTATCTTAGTACGGGGTATTCTCACCTTGCACACCTTACGCCAGTAACCGTTCACCTGCCTGCATGGGAGCCACAGTTCAACCAACACCGTTCAACCACATAGTTCAATTGGGAGTTCCGAAGACCGCAGTAACGTCTCCCCATTCGAAATTTGACATCCTACCCGCTCCTAAAGAACTGCGCTGGAGCAGCGGTCTGCAGCAGTTGGAGTTCTAAAAACAAAAGGAGTTCAGGACTTTCAAGAGCACAATTACTGTGCATTTCAGAAAAATGTTCTTGCAAAGCAGGGACCCTCGACTGGCTGCATGCTCGTTGGCATAGCAGGTATGACGGGGAGAGGTCGTGGATGGATATGACTTAATCGCTGCACCAGCTTTGCAGTGTGCGCTGGTCACTTTCAGGGGGGCATGCCCCCGCACTACGGTCTCTACGGTCGCAGGTTCGGGGGCATGTCCAACCCTAAAACCTGTCTTTATACATTAGGCTGCATTACGAACGTCAAATTATTTGGGGTCCGGACCCCCGGGACCCCACCAGTGGCGGAGCCCCTCGTCACTTTCATTGTAATAAGCAAGGCAATGAGAAATCTTAGCCATACGCTAGTTATGCGTAGGGAACGAAACGTGCAACTGTGATACATGCTTTTTTAATGAAAATAGCTGACACCGGTTAATAAAGCCACCGCTTGATAAATCCAAAACACCTTGTCACCAAGGTGGATTTATTAAGCGGATTCCACTGCACTTGGTCGATTGCGCTGAAAGTTGGCAGGTAGGCAGGCACCCACTAGGCAATGCATATATACATGTGCCACAGTTTGGGATGCTGCTGTACGTGCGCACGTGCAGGGGTCGTTTCCAGATCTCGAGAACGGCTGGACCGATGGCGCTCAGTACGCGGTTAGGGACCAGTTAGTAGGGTGCCGTGCACAAGTTAGTTGGGACCCATTTTGCACGTGCGCACGTGCAGGGTGCCGCTTCCAGATCTCGAGAACGGCTGGGCCGATTGTGCTCAAATTTGGCACATCGCTAGAGACCGGTTAGTAGGGTGCCGTGCAAAAATCAGTTGCAGGTACCCCCTCGCGATTTCGCACGTGCAGGGCCCACCCTCTCGCTCGCTCCGTTAGTCGCCCCAAAAGGCGTTATCCTGGTTTAAGGTTTTATTACCAACCTATATAAATTCAGGCTGAGGCAATGCTGACTTGCCAATGTAAAATACGGGTAATAGATAGCTGATGTCAAAACATGAAAGATGCTCACTTGCAGCATCATGACTTTCAAATAATTTTTGTCTTACCTGGTGGTTGGAGTCGACTGATCATGACAAGTTACCTTGAATCGATTCAACATATGACTCGCGTTTCCTTGAATCGATTTAACCTGTGACTCAAACGGCCTATACATATGTGAATCGACTCGACTCATGATTCATTCAGCTTTCAAATTGTTTGATTCGATTCAACTCATGACTCGAAGAAAAATGATCGATTCTTGAATCGATTCATGATTCGACTCTGAGTCGTTTACAACCCTACCCCCATCCCTCAAAAATCCACGAGGACGCCCCAGCGCATTTGAGTAACACGTGACCGAAATGGCTTAAACATCTGGGACGCCGGCCTGTACTACCGATTGGAGTCGGCGCGCCGCCGGTCGTGCAGCCACTGTTGCAGACCGTGACCGTGCGTTACCTGTATGAGCGTCTCCAGGGCGTCCAACACCACCATGCTGGCCTCTGCCGAGAGACAGCGCTCGGCGGCCGGCTCGGCCGGCTCGGCGACGCCGTCGGCGCGCTCCTCCTGCCGCCACTGGGGCGCCGTCTGCTCCTTGCGCCAGCGCAGACGGTCCGGCGTAGCGGCCGGCTGCTGGTGCTGAGACCGGCGCCGGATCAGCTCGCTGCGTGCCGAGCCGCCGCCCAGCAGCATGTCCTCCAGCCTCGACTTGGCCTCGACGGCGCGCGTGGGCCCGCGCCCCGTCGCCTGGGAGGCCAGCGGCGGCTGGCGGCCACCCTGGCCGACAGCAGACAAACGCAGGCCGGCCGTCAGCAACATAGCCATAATCCAATGAAACAGGGGCCATTGGGCCATCGCCAGATAGCCGTCAGAACTGAAATCCCATAACAAAGTTGTTATGGGATTTCGACATGCGAGCTCATCGCCAGTTCCGGCGATGAGCTCGCATGTCGAATTTCCAAACAGCTGGGGAATTACTGAGTGTGGTTGGTTGCGGCTGGTAGTTGCACACATACACCAGCCGGCGCCGGCCGTTCCTGGTGGACGGGCCAGCGGGCGCCCACCTTATACTCGAAGCAGGAGAGTGCGTTGTGCAGCAGGCGCAGCAGCTGATGCAGTCGCGCCGGTCGGTACTCGGCCCAGGTGGCGCGCAGCACATCGGCGCGAGCATTCTTCAGCACCCAGAGTGTGCAGAGCAGCAGGTCGCGACTGGTGTCTGGCCGCACGTTCGCTGACCGCGCCTGTGGACCGCACAGATCACATCCGGCACCTCAGTACACCCGTGCATCAGCTGGCCTGCACAGGCCGCCGATACAACTCATGACAGGACATTAGTATCAGCCGCCTGCTTCTGCCTGCAGCTGGTAAGCGGTTTACATTCAACTTTCAAAATCTTTCAAACTTTTGCTAATTGACAAAGCAACAAGTGTGGGCCATAGGCAGTGCTGGAAATGAGGCCGCTTTCTGGTCCCGGCGTTTTATTCTCCGGGTGGATTACCCCCGTCCAGCGCTTAGCCTTTCGGGACCCACTCAGAGCAGCGGTTGTTTTCGCCGCTCGCCCTAGTCGAGATGCAAAGTTAATAGTTTTTTTTTTATTCAAAAGCGTACCATACATCCGGCCACGGTATACAGCGGCTGCACTCACCCACACAAGTTCACATGTGCCTCACGCTGCTTCTTCCCCGTTCCGAGCCCGTCGTCTGATCCACTCCAATGCATTCCGCCTTTGTGAGCATTTTTTAAAAGTTTTTTTTTAATGAGTTAATAGACAAAATTCCTTAAGCCACCTTTGTTCTGTATATAAAGTCAGTGGCGTAGCCAGAAATCAGCAAAAGGGGGCAATGGTGCTCGAGGGGGCGACTTTTTCCCTTGAGAGGGGCGCCATTGTCAGCTAGTGACAGGGGCGTCAGTCTAAAATGTAACGTCATGTTCATGCATGATTTACAAGGTGTTGCAAAATATGAGTATAAGAACCAGCTTTCGCTGATTTTTTTCATAAAATCCAATTAACCCGCGCCCTGCTGGGGGGGGGGGGGGTTGAACACCCGGAGCGCCGCCGTTTTTGGTACACCTTATCATGCATCAATTCTACACATGATGTGAAAATTTCAGACCAAGGTCATTCAAGGTCAAATCACCAGGTCACTTGAAGTGACCTTACCTCATAAAAAGTTTCAATGTCTGTCATAGCTACACCGAGTGACCGATCGCTTTGAAACTTTCAGCGATTGCTAAGAGCAATAGCATGTACAAAATGTATATCTCAGAATTTTGATATCGATGACCTAAGGTCAGGTCAATTTTGCGACCTCCCCATTATAAGTCAATGGGAGAAAATTGAAATGCGCCTCTTTTGGACGAAAGACATTATAAACACTTCCAAACACTGCATTACAAGTGGTTTAGACACACTGAAAATGAAAATGGTGTCCGTGACCCCTGTTTATGCCCTGAGGTCATCTTGGGTCACGAATGGTATCTAACAGTTTTTCGCAAATAACTTTTGATAGAGGCATGCTAGAGCGATGAAAACGCCTTAGATGTGTTCAGCTCGACGATACGGATCGACTGATATGCAACATGACCCTTTCCGGTCAGGTCATGACCTTGACCTGAGGTCAAATTTTCAACTTGACCTTTCAAGGTCAAGTTATAGTTCATTCGATGCGTCTTGACGAGAGGAACACGATGCTGGTAAAAGTAAGCTAGTACAAGGCTTGGGTCAAAAGTTATTGCAGAAAAACTGTTTCCGAAAAAATCGGCTATTTTTGCAGTTTTTGCCGCCTGCAGGCAAAACCGTTGACGTTAGGTGAAATCTGACAGAATTACTCAGAAAGGGCGTTAATAGGGCTATCGAATGCGCTTTTCCGCGGCGCTGTAGCTCTATTGGTTCCCGAGTTATGCGTTGGCTTCTTGGAAATGAAATTGTCGACATTCGACCTGGAAATCGTCGAAATTTTGCCTTCAATGACCTCTGGTGACCTGACCTTTGACCTGACGAAAAAATTCACCGAAGTCATTTCGTCATTATTTTTGACGCTCTTTCGAACGCCGCCTTCCGCGTATCGCTACGTGGCCCAGGAGCCGAGTTAGAAGGGGGGGTGTTCAAGCACCCCCCCCCCCCCCCAGCAGGGCGTGGAAATCCAGGACCCCCAGCCGGGCGCGGGTTAATGCAATTTGCAGCCCGGTGTTTTTTGTTAATAAAAAAACATTGATTTTGATGAGTGTAACACCCACTTAAATTTTACCGTCTTCATCCGCTTGTAATGTCAATGTTATTTTACCGCCTCTTTTTCGTTTTCATATCGTATTGCCATGTCTCTCGTTCAGCGCCGGCCGCGCGGGGCCGACTTTGCCGACTCTCCCGAGCTCCGGCTGAGCTGCGCCAACCCCGCGTGCCGCGCCGCCGCCCAAGGCACGTCAGTCACGATGCCACGCATGCCCATCTTAGGAGGATTTAGCGGCGCGCGCTATTCAACTATCTCGACTCCGGCGGTTACTGCACAAAGCCTTAGATCTGCCGTTTACATACTTGTCCATCAGAGTTTAGTCACACTTAGTTAATGCCAGGTGCGCCTCGGGCAGTACATCGGTGTAAACTCCGCTCCGTACCCATTTTTCTAGCCACTAGCGTACTGTAACGTTTCATTTCCGTCCATCGCTAACCACTAAGATCGTAGTGCGTGGGAACCCCGAGGCTAGCCCGGGACATTCCCGGGAGTGCAGAGGCAGTCTCCGGCT